GCCTGCATTTCGCGCACTCGACACGCACGATCTCCGCAGAGGGTTGCACTTTCGGTTGACGCTGTTCGTCCCACCCTCCGCCTTTAAGAGAGAATTTATAAAGTGGGGAAATGTTTTTTCATTAGGACATCTCCCGTGCTAGTTTTCCATACTCACACTTGCCTACTCATTGCATGCTTGCATACTCATAGCATGCTTGCATACTCATTGCATGCTTGCATACTCATCACTTGCATACTTACACTTGCATACTTCCACTTGCATACTTTGACACTTGCATTGCATACTTTGCACTTCACTGCTTTCGCTCTTCCACTTACACAGGGCTACGTATAGCGTTCATGTTGTCCTGCAAGTGTGGTGAAAGTGTCAATGTCTAAGTGTGTCTAAGTGTAAGTGTCGAAGTGTCAGTGTTCAAAGGATTTTCCGGAAGAACCCTTCGCAATGCTTTCGGGAAAAAAATCCTAAATTAAATGGCCCTCCCTGGAAAAAGGATGTGTTAATGCCATATCCGTGAACTTCCAAGGAACCTCATTTTTGGTGGCAAACAGGTCCTGCATTACCTTTGTGGACTGTCAAAGCTTCCATCAATCCCAGCTGAACACTGCGAGAAACCCAGAGGATCTTTAAAAACCAATAGCCTGTTTGAGATAGCTGCAAAACCCTTTCGCAAGCGCAATATGTCAATGTAGGCTTCTTTTGCTTCAACCTTGGATTTCCTTGCTCCCACTATCTGGGCTTCTCGGCATGCTGAGGCCAAAGGTCCTTTATAACTCGTTTCTTCACTTCGAGTCCCCAAGCATGCGGCCTGGTTCCCTCACGGTCGAATGCCGAACCCCCTCTCAGGGTCGAATGCCGGCACCGTTCCTCTTCCTCGCCTGATGAGGGCCGTAGACATTGTGCGGCCGGAAGATCACAAAGTCAATGCCAAAGAGCTCCTGCGACAGAACTAGAGCTTGCTGCGATGACTTGCGATTGCACGTGAATTCAGGTGAAATCCGCCCAAGTGGTCTTAAAACAGAATGTGTTGCATCTCATCTATTCCCATCTCCACCATCCTCCACCACTACAGAACCCCACAACCCCCTACCCCCCTACCCACCACTCTCCGGCCACGGTGACGCTGCTGCGACCGTTGCCTTGGCCGCTTGGAGGTCCAACTCGAAGGCGAACTTCGCGATGCCGTAGGGGTCTTCGGGCGTCGGTCGGTCCTCCTCCTTCAGGCCTTCCGGCATCGGCCAACCGGCACGCCGGTGGTGTTCTCCGACGGAGAACTGCTATTCTTGGAAGCACCGGGTGTTCTTGGGCTCCGGGTTTTCAAGAAATCTGTCCTTTTATGAGGTTGAAGCGTATGGTACAACAGAGTGGTCGTCAATTGGCCATTCTCCCACCATGCCGAAACATCGTTCGTGCACCAAGTTCCTGCCTTGTTGATGATGAAGAGCCTTGTGGCCACTGGTGCTCAGCGAGCGATTAGGGTTCTGCATCTGTGACAGATCCTGGGACTGTGCAAGTCGTGCGCGGTTCACCGCGCCGTCTGTTGCACGGATGGCCTGGATCCTTTCGCCCAAAACCCCAAACAAAACCCAAACACCACATGGAGCCTCCGAAAAATCGGCGTGACACAGGGGTGGTTTCGGAGAAAGAACACTGAAACTTTCGAAGAACGACTGGCCTACTTCTGACCTACTTCTCCCAGTGATCCCAGATCTGCCTCCCATCGGTCTTTTTCTGGCTCAGTCACATTAATGCTGCCATAGACTGCAATGGACGAGGTGAAGACGAAGCAGTGGACGCGGTGCTTGATGGCTTGGTTCAAAATCTCTACCTTGACCGCGAACGGTTTGCGCACTAACGAGTTTTCGCAGCCAAAAGTGTAAGGTAGAAAAAGATAAGAACTTTAAAATAAAACATAGATTCACTGGAGCTGTCTGACAAAGGCACCTCCCTGTTCTGACTCTCTGACTCTCCTCACACCCGCTTTCTTGTTCCCAGCGGCAGAGCCCACCAGGTTGGTCCGGTAGTTGTAGGAACGAATGAAATGCGAAAGGCCTTCGGCGAAGAACAACTCCCGCGGGCGAGCGACCCTCGACTCTGTTTAAAGGGGACCCAGGGATGGGCCGAACCTGAACCGGTGTGGCCTCCACTTGGGGGCTCTGAACGACCATGCTGTATCAATTGACCATACGGATTGGGGGCAGAATGCCCACGACTTGCTCTTGAAATGCAATTGTTCTAACGATTGATGCTTCAAAGGCGCACGTGCCCGGAAGGCATGCTGACTAGGAGCCACGAAGTAAATCTCGCACAGCATATTCATGAGACGGCACTTGGAGAGGATAGAGCTCTACTATAACTACAACCCAGGAAGAATATTACCTACTATACAACTCAAGCACAACTACAACCGACAAATTCAAACTCAAAAAAAGAAAACAAGCAAGACTCAACAATTATCCGCCTCGTTGAATAACAGAACCGCCCAGCGGCCCAGCGATTTTGGAACCCGACTTTGGAACCCCAAAACCGCCCGTGTGACCCCCATTTTGCCGTCGCCTTCAGCTGCATAGGCTGCGAGGTGGTACACATAATGCACCTAGCACGGTTCACGTTGCCCACTCACAAAATGAAGTGGATATAGAAGCATAAGGCGAGTGTCTTTCGTCTGCACCAGGATGGATTTGTTTGGGGGATGTTTCTGAACTCTATCTACCTCAGGATTACCATGTTAGCTCAACAGAAAAAGGAGCTTGTAATTTGTGGCATGTATTTTGTCACAACCATGATCTCGCAAAGATTTCTCTTCAAGTAATTTCGAGGTGTCAACTGAAAACTGCCCATCGGCATACAGTTCTTCTGGAATGTCTAATTCGGGATGATTCTTCTCAGGGCCTCGTATGGCCTCAGTGTGGATCTGCATCATAAGACACTTTGAAAGTTCCTTGATGTTCAGCACTTGCTCGAGTCAACAAACACCATTGAGGTGCACCCCAACGGACATCTACGAAAGACCTGGGCAGGCCAGTGTCCTGAGTCAGAAGCTTTGGAAAGTGTAGAATCAGCTAGACTCATGAGCTGCTGATAGAACACCTTTCTTTCTGCCAAAATCCTCGGGCATTCTCCAGTTCAGGATGTCTTCCATCAACTGTCGGGGGGTTCAGTCGTGCAACCGCCCGCCACGCGCTGCTTTCGCGTTGGAAGCTCGCGGCGCCTCGTGCTCATTGAAGATCCGTTCCAACAACTGAGCGTCCCGGATGTCTCCTTGCAAGAGGCTAGACATCTAGGAGACAACGCGCAGGGACGAGCTCTGAAGAATCTGAGAAAGACTTCAGAATGCACAGCCGATTCGTCTCTGGGAACTACAACTAGGTACATGCGTCTGAGTGGAACACCCTCGAACTATTTTTGTCCAAAGGAACATCCGATGACCTGCGCAAACATTGAAGAACTAGCCACCTTCCGTCAAAGTGGGGTGTGTCGCTGAACAGAAAAAAACAGATCACAAAAGTTCCAGAGACAAGCACTTACATACATCTGTTTTGACATGTGCATTTCAGTGGTTTGGGGCATCAAAATATACTGTATCTGTTTTGACATGGAATCAAAAAAATTAAAGGGTAGTGTTATGTCGTTGCAGAACTGGAACAGCGAGGGTGTGATGCGCTGCAAGACGCCTGGAAAAAATGAACGGTTCTGACGTGCAAGAACTCGTGCACACGCATGGGGAGCGCAGGTCTCATGTAGAGTTCAGCTGATTTCATAACAGTCCAAAATCAACCAGAGATACATTGGACAACACTCCGTGCATTCGATCTCATCACGGATTGAACCACAATTCCCATCATCACCTGCCACAGTTTCCCGCATCCGGACGGACACACACCAGTCGCACAAGAGACCAGAGACCTCCCTCCGCATCCGGACACCGGTGCTGCTGGCGTCCTTGAATGAAGGTCACTCCCTCCGGCACGTTGGCCCGGAAACCACCGCTCAAGTCATCCAGCGCCAGGACCCGCATCCCAAGGTCGGAGCAATGCCTCCGTTCGCAGCGGAAGTGACCCGGTGCCTCGAAGACTGCCCAAGGCAAAGGCCCTACATTTTTGTCATCCTTCTGCAAGGTTGGGATCTTGCCCCACTGACCCTCAACAAAACCCATTGCCGGGGGCTGTTCGCCTGTTGAAAACTGTTTGGCCCTTAAAAAGGAACGTGCGCTCATGGAAGGCCAATCTATGATGCAAGGTTCTATTCTGGACTGCGACATCCATGTACACCCCAAATCGGTATCAGGCCTTGCCACATGGCTCCCGATGAAGCCAGCAGCGCCAGTGACCAGGGCGGTTTTCCCTCGTGCCAGCGCCACTTCCTGCACGCATCGACCACAGCCAGTCATCGTCTTCACCCACAAAAAGGCGTCAGTGGGGGAACAGCTGAAAGGAGGGTTGAAAGGCTTGACCACATGCTTGGTGTGTTGGCAGATGGCAGCCGCAACAAACGCACTCGAGTGATGTTCACTGAAAAGCTCTGGTGAAAGGCCGTCGAACATGATCGATTCCTGTGGTATCTTTCCAAAATATCGGATGAATCCCTACATCGAGGTCCCAGGCTTTCAACACTTCTTGTCCAACCCCATCAGCTGGATGAGGGAAAAGCACGATTCGTAACGATTCCGACGACCTTTCGGCTGGGAGATGAGACCAGCTCACGGGTGACGAAGAAACCAGCTTCGTGCCGGTCATGCGTGTCGTCGACTTGGAATGGCGATTTGGCCAAGTCCTCTGGAACATCCCCCAACACGCCTCACTTGAAGACCGTCCAGGCTTGTACAAAAATATCTGAAGAGCATTGAGAAAAAATAGAAACAAACAACAATCTACGCACAAGTGCAAAGCACATGTGGAAAGCGAGCAGAAAAGGGCTTTCGAATTTCATGACCTGAAAAAATTGAGCCAAATGACCAACCCTTCGTCACTTGGTCTTGTTTCCAGCATGCCAGTCCATCTTTTTGTCTCCTTTCCAGGTCATCCAGGTTCCGTTCTTACTGGGCCTAATCCATCAAAGAGTCTCTAAATCTGCCTTAGTGAGGAGACTATGCTGAAATCTATGAAGCAACTCCAACTGGATCGATCTGCAATACCTCCGAACCATCTTTACTCCTGCTTCGAGGTGAGACCAGTCACCGCGGTGTCCGTCGAGAGACATCACAAGGGTTGAACCATTAAGGATCTACATCTACGATGGGGGGCACTGTACTATCTACATCTACGAAGGATAGACTCCCTGGAACGTCCTCATGGTGACCTGGAGTGCATGGCCTCAAAGACTCGGATGACCAGAACATCAACCAGGTGGTGGGTGTTGCACGAACACCATGTTCAAGAGAGCGAGAGAGTAATTCTGCAAGGAAAACGGTCCAAGCCTCCCTTTTCGAGGATAAAAAAGAATTTGATTTGAGCAGTATATAACAAGTGGATGGCATTTATAGGTGATAACCACAAGGGGATGGCATATCATAGGCTCCCTCCTCATGCCACTCGTTATCCCCTTTTTGAGCAATATCTACAGGCAGTTCAACATGGAATGCCGTCCAAACTGCTTGTGGAGTCGGCGACGCACGTGGAGCTTCCCGGTTCCCGCGTCCGGCGGCACGGCCCTCCGCTGGCCTCTTCCGGAAAGAGGGCCCCATGTGCACAGGCCTCCGGATCAGGAAAGCAACTCAGTCAAAAAATGCATTCCAACAGGGTTTTTCACATCCTTTAGGGCAAGCAACAAAAATGGCGCTCTCTCCTACTGGTGTTCCGAGATGTCGTCTTGAAAGGTATCAATCAACATGTGTCAACACTCAACAATCCAAGTTCTTGAGTGCGTTGTGCCACCCCCCCGGGTTTCAAACAGCTCCCTTGCTCTTCCGGTCAAGGCACCAGCAAAAGCCAAAGCTTCAGCCGCCATCTGAGCATCAGCTCGTTCGGTGGCTCCTTCGGCCTTCACTGCTGACCCGAGGCCGAATGGCCAGGTGGGTTGATGCTCAGACTGTTCTTTTTAACGGTGTGTGAACACGCCATGTGCCAATGTGAAACAAACAAACATGTTTAACATGCAGAAGTTGTAGAACCCATCATGATCATCTCGATAGCTCCCTTCTCCCTTACAAAAGCTGAAGACTGTCCTATACGGCTACACTGCTACACGGAATTTTCCAGGACAAATGCGGTGCATCAAACCCTTGGGCGCATGTTTGGTGTGTTCTTCAGCCGTTATTTGATGGACAAAACAAATGTGCAGGCTTTTTGGTGCTGACGTGGATGTCGTGAGAGCTGGTCTGAGCCAGAAATCAGCCACAAATGCCATCACCGACGCTTTGGTTTCCACTTTCTGGGGAAGAAGTGCATGCAGCATGTGGATGGCGCGGAAATGGCTCGGGCTTACATTTGGAGCGGGAAGCAGAGAAAACCTCTTCGTTTCCCAAACGTCGGATGGCGCTGCAAGGCATCCAGCATGTCCAGATCCAAAAACGGGGCCGCGTTCTTTGTGCAAAAACTCGCATCGCAACGTGCACGTCACCACAGGTCATCACAGGTTGCTTGGTCGGAGGCAGTCCCGAAACGCCACCCCCCAGCCTCGAGCTTTCAGAGAAAAGACAAAGATCGGCCTATGTAAGGCTTTCGTCCGATTTCGGAGTCAGATACCAACCAAACCACACACCAAACCCATCACCGTCCGGACCGCAGTTCCCCGGGCCAGCAATCCACCAGATAGTCCGAGAGCTTCTGGGACGTCAACCTGGGCGGACCGCCCACTGGGATCGCTGGGATCGTGGGGGTCCAAGGCCCTTGCTCCTAGTAGCGATGCACTTGTTCCTAGTAGCTTATTATGTCTATTTTATTTCTTGTTTCAAATAGCTTCTTGTTACTAGTAGTATGCCAGGAGCCCCTTTCTTGCTCCTAGAAGCGATGCCAGAAGCCCCTAGTAGCTTACATGTTCTACCTGGAAAGGTTGGAGGTGCTTACCTAGTAGGCTCGGCTCCCTCCAAACTGAGAGGGTTGTCTCGACTGGGCCACATCACACGCCATACCGAGATCTACCAAGTTACTGTCCCAGTTGGACATAGCCAAAGCTGCTCTGCTCCTGGAATCTGCACAGAAGGTGACGAGGTCCCAGAACGTGCCAAGAGGAAAAGGTCCCAGTCTGCGAAGTCAGTCCCAGTTAAACTCCCATGGCCCCACTCCCTGTCCTGGCCAAGCTCCTCCATCTCCCCCACGAAGAAAAGCTCCTGGCGATGTCTAAAGACAACACGAATATACGGTATATACAAGACAAACATCATCGTCACATGGCTGCAGTTCAAGGTTGGAAGTTGGCACCCTTAGCATTCTCAAGATCACCAAACACCTTGTGGTTCAATGCCAGTGCTACCAGTGCTGCTTCCGGCAGTCGCCTGTGTCCCATCCCCAATCCCCTCCTCGAAGGAGCTCAAAGCTGCGAGGCTGCTGGAGGCCTCCACAAATGGGTTGTTCTGAGCAGAAACGTTTTCTCCCATGGCCACACCACTGTGCAACGATTCTATGAAAATCCCCTGACATTCTTACATCCCCTACCCACGCTGCGGCAACGGGTTTGAAGGGAGCAACAATTGCGACTGCAATGGAGAGGAAACTCCCAGCCTTCAATGGGCGCACGTCAAGCGCCTGGAGGTTGGACGCCTTCACCTGATCCCGAAAGTCCTACCCTCACGAAAACGATATGGAGTAGGAACCCATGCTCATGCTTCAAGGTTCACAGCCGCTTCATGTGCGTGCCCAATCTCAGTGATGCTTCCTGACTTTCATGGCACTTTCGACATCATCACCTGCAAAACCGGCAAAACCCATCAAATTGTGCTGTGTACAAGCCATTCAGAACCGTTGAAATCCTTCACCTCTGCGATGCGGCCGCTGCAAAGGGCACGGCAGACCACACGTAGCTCTGCCTCAGTGGCCGTGGAAAACAACATTGAGTGTGCATAGAAACACGGAGACCTCCCAAAATACCTGTTGGAAGGAAGGGAAACTGACCCGTCTACCCGGGGTCTCCCTACTAGAAATACAGAGCAACATCTGTCATGATCTGTCATTCGGAGTCATTCTCACCGTCACTTCCGGCGCACACCTGCGGGTCGCTAAGGCCCGGACGTCGTCCACCAAGCGGATCGCTACCTACCGGACATGGAGGTGTGGACTGGAACAGAACATGGCGGCGCCCCTTTTGAACCCCCTAACCCTTTTTGTTTAACCTACACATTGTTTAACCTCCCAACCCGTGGTTTGAACCTCCCATGCCTCTCTTCTAACCTCCAAACCCTTTCCTTAAGACCCAAACCTTTCCGTTGAACAACAGCCCCCTGCTTTACCACCAACCCCTTTGTTTCAACTCCCCGACCTTTTGCTTAAGCCCCGCAATTTATTTTGAACCTCCTACTTGGGTGTGGTGAGAACAGCAGCGGTGAAAGCCACATTGCGGTGAAAACCGAAAATGAAAACGGCAACCAAAAGGTGTAAATACGTGTGAACTGAGAAGGTTGGCTTCAGCTTCAGCGGCGCAGCTTTTGGATAAACAGTCGTTTGAAATGACAATCTTCTCAAGCTGAAAGCCAGCTACTTTGAAGACAAACCCCTCGAAATAAATAAATATAACTCTTGCTATGTTTTGGAAAATATTGGAACAAGTTCCTAAGTAACCCATAACTTTCCGCAGAAGTCTTCAAAAGTTGCGCTACTTCTAGTGTATTAGACAGGCTCTAAGCAAATGATTGCATTCGCAAGCAAGTTGCAACCCACTTTTTAGTTCCCCTACTCCAAAGCACACCCAAGTACTCGTCTTTAGCTTCGGAGGGCGCAGCGCCTCCCCCGGCATTGCATGCGGCGGTCCTATCTTCTTCTTGCTGCAACATGTTCAATCCCGTGTCATTGGCTTTCCCGCAGGACTCCGAACATGATAAAGCTTCAAGGTGATATAGCGAGGGGGCGCAGTGGTTTTGTTGCGTGAGATAGAAGGCTAGGGCTTCAAGCATAGATTCCGAGGTGGAACACAGCTCGCGCGGATCGCATCCAGGGTTGAGGGGTTAAGAAAAAGGTGTGTCGAAAAAGGAATTGAGGGTAAAGAAAAGCGTTCGGGGTTCAAAAAGAGGGTTAGGGGGTTGAAAGAAAGAACTCCCTAGTTTTTCGGGAAGGGTTTAAAGATTAAAACATGGGTTGGGGTGGTTAAAAATAGGTCGGGGGGTTAAAGAAAAGATGTTTGTGGTTTGAAATAACTGTTTGGTGGTTAAAGGGAGTGGTTCTATAGGGACTGACTTACATATAATATTTTTAAATGCTTTTTGGGAAGTGTCTAAATGGGGGTTGAAAACGGTTGAGAAAAAGGGAGCCCCAAAAAAATGTCTCTTCAGAATCGAGAGAAGAGTTGATCAGCGATCTTCAGCTATGGTTTGAAGTGTTTTACGAATTCCATCCCTATTCTTTTCAAAAATGTTGATTTTTCGCTATGCGTCGCAGATATTTCAGGTCTTGAAGTTTGTAAACCCGTTCTTTTAAGCCCGAAGGCTGGCTCCTACAGTAGCCCTTCCAGGTTCGTCCCCCAAAATGCTTCATGCTTCTACCGGAAACCTTCGGTGACTGGTTCAGGCCAAAAATGGAAAAAGGGGAGACACCGACTTCCCATAGAGGAATGAATTTGCCACGTCAAGCGAAACATGTGCGGTGCACAGGGTGGTCAGGTGATCGTTGTCTCACGCGTTGAAACGTTCTTCCGCGCAGACGAGGATGAAAAGATACAATCCCAAGGCTTGCTTCGTAGACTGTGCAAAAGAGAGCGATACACCCCTCAAACACGAGGCAGGTGACCCAGGCATGTTTAACAGTTTGTGGTGTGCCTTTAGGCTTCCACAGTCAAAGGATAACCTTGTACCCATTGAGATACCATTCGAACGCCCTTCCTACTGCAACTACCGAACCAAGTGGCATCCCCAAATCGTTTCTCAAATTGAATGGTCTCTTTCTCAACAGTACGGCACTCTCAAACGTTTCCTGTAGAATCTGTAGAACAACGATTACTTCTCCCCACAGAAGAGACGCTCCTATATATGGTTCCACTCTTCCAATCGGCAACGAAGCGTCAGCGACTCTCAGCCGCCCCAGGGACGCACCCCGCCGGCTCGACGGCGCAGCACGGCTCGACAACTTCGCACAGCTCACGCGACGCTCACGCGGACGACACGCGGCTGGGCGTCCCAGGCCAAGGGATCTCCCAGCAACGGCTCACGCGAATGGACGTACAACGCACCTTCCTCAGTCCACGGACATTGCCACGGAGCGGTCGGCCACACGGTGTCTTGGTTGCGTCTGCGTGTGGCGGGGAGGAGGTATGAGTCGCGTGGGGCCAAAAGGAGGCGCGTTTGGGCCCAAAGGAGATGGAAGTGTTTCCTACGTTTCTTGAAAGGATTTGGTTCAGACTGTTCAGACTCGGAAGAACTCCTGGCAGCACTAACAACGAAGAGATTGGTGGTTGAAGGATCCTGGCCATGTGCAAGTGCTGCGAGAAAAGCTTTCGGTGCTTCTGTAGGGCTTTGGATCGAAAATCGTCTCCAAAAGTCAGGAAAACCTGAGAAATGCTGGGCTCTATTCATCTCTTCATCTCTTCATTCCTGCAAAACCTGTCTGTTCTTGTCTGAGTGTCACATGCCCTTTCAGATTTGGGAAATCGAGTATGTTTTGAAGTCGTCCTAGAGCTACCAGCTAGCCATTTGGACACAGCCCAAAAGCAACCTGACAATTGATTCCCCCCACGCCCCCAGCTCCCAACAATCCCAACTGCGAAGGCCTTGAAGTGCGCAGATCGTTTCAGGAGGAGTCTCTACAAACCTCTGCCCCCCTGCCACCAAAGAGCAGCTGGGCTGATGCGATCCCAAAGACTAACACATGGTTCCAGAGATGAACCCCTGGCGCTTCAGCCCTGTCTGGAGCTCATCGACATCATCGACCCAGAAGGACTCAGAACTTCCCCACCCTTCCCCCCCTGAGATGGCTTGGCAACCCAGACTCTGGCCATCTGGCACGAGAGGCGGGTGCAAAGCCCGGGGGGAGGAAAATCCGGAACTGCAGTTCGAAGCGTTCTCGATCTTCAAGACCTGGATTTTTCCGAAGATGAAATCACAAAAGTCTGACCCGACACCGGACCACCAAAACCACCGGGGACCTTACAGTACGGTATCCGTTAGGGTCCCCAACACCCACCGAAAGCGCCACCAGAGACCCGTGTCCCGTGGCCATCACGAAACGAAAGGCAAAACCACGCGCCTCGCGTCGAGGGGAGGCAGCCGCGCGGCGCACACCTGGCAGATCTTGAGCACGGTCAGACGTGCCATTGTCTCAGTTTGGTTGAAAGATGTACGTCGCTTCGGGTTGAAAAGCGCTTCTTTATATGCCTTCTTTAGTGCTGTAGCACTGTTGCCACATGAGTTTTTGGTCCCCAACAAATCTAGGCTTTCAGATGTTCCAACGAAGCCTTTCTCTTGCGGATCCAATGCGACAGCGTCGACCGCGTCGACCGCGTCTCGAAAAGCCGAGATGTGGAGAGGTGTCAGCGTGGTCGGCTGGATGTTTGCTTGAAGTTCATGTGGCTGGGCCTGGTGGCATGGCTACTGGCTACCCTCCCCCGCAGTGTTCGAACATTGGCAAACACTTCAACATCATTGTCCCAACTTACTCGCGGTTTTGCTATGTCAATGTTGGGAAGGATATGGAAGGACAAATGATGAGATTGAATAATTCAAGAATGCATCCACCTGCGCTTTAGGTCGCTCAACAGGTTGTTGACGTTGGTTTCAGCAAAACGATTCGCACACTTCACTCAAGTGCAAACATCCAAAAGCACCTCAACACCCTCATCACCACCACAAGCATCAGCTACCTTGTGTTCCTACCCATCACCTGACTAGCATCCCTCTGCTTCTATCCTCCTTCCATCCGCCCTTCCCCACCTGTCTTTGGGGTCGGCTTTGGCGCCGGCTTCCTTCGGCATGCAGCACACACCGGTTCGTTTATTCAACACGACAATGGCAGCTGACAGTGAACGTTGATTAAAATCTGGCATTGAAAATGGACATTTTCTGCAAGGCAAGTGATATGCGGAATGTAGTTAAGAAGATTCCATGGAACAAAAAGAGAGACAGCCCTTGTGTTTAACAATGCTACAGCCACACATAAATTGATAGGCGAATGCTAAATGAATAATTGCTTATCTTTGGGCTTCATGTTTTGACAAGTTTCCAGACACCCCACATGTTGCAAGAACACCATCTTGCAGCTTTTGAAGTTCTTCGATCTATGCTTCTCCGTACAAGGATCGCCCACAGCAGATGCGACCAGTGCAGCTTGCAGCTTGCGGTTCGTCTCGTGTGGGGGTGGGAATCGACCACCTTCGCTTCGCTTCGCCCGCCCAGCGAAGAGTCGGGACCACGCCCGAAGGCCCCGAAGCGCGCAGGCCTGGCTGCGGCCTTGCGCACCGGTTCCTAGGTCCCGGACGTGCACCGCACCGCGGAATCGCGGGCAGATGGAGCCGGGAGCTGGGCGCAGGGATTTGCTGAATCGGAGCAGGGGAAAAAGTACAGAGGTACGAGGATTGACCCATAGGGATAATAAGTAATAACCCAAAGCAAAAGCAAGTTTAGAGGAGGATGCCAGAACCGTTGGCTTGGTGGGTCAAAACTCTCTGGGTCTTCTTGTGCCCCTCCAGCCAGGCATCTTGATGCTACGAGTAGGTAGGGTTCATGGTTGGGTTCATCTGAGAAGTAGCCCGGTCTACGAGGCAACTTGCCTGGAAGTTTGCGAGTGATCTTTCAATCAAAGTACCCATGTGAGAATGGGATGGGTCATCAAAAGAACAGATATAGAAAAATACTGCACCACCTCAATAATGCCCCAATGAATCATTCCTCGCAAAAGGGAAGTCCTTCTTCTCAGTAAACTCTACTTACTCCAGTTTCTTGGCTACAGGAAGCTCGGAACAGGTAGACGTCCCCGAAAATGTCCCATAGATGAGGATTCCTCAAACTGCTGTGGTCCATGGTCGCTTGGAATGGTGGAAACTCCCTTTTGGCAAGAATTCCTCTTGCGGATTGCCCCCCGTGCGCGCCACACAGCCGAGAGCCAGACCACCTTGCCTCGACCTGACAAACTGGTCTGAGAGAAACGGTGTGGCAAAAGCATCACTTCTGGTCTTTTGGGTCGTGCCAAAAGGGAACCATGCACGACTCCGGAGATATCTTCGCGGAGTTTCCAGATTCATCAATCTTGGAGTTGAATGGATCCTTTTGAATACCGAGGTTCGACCTGCTTTTGTCAAATCGGCGATGTGGTGACCAATTTTTTTCAAAAATTCTATTGTGTAGCCTTTCTAGGCTGGCATCAGCTCCTTCTAGACTCTAGACTTCTCGAGCACAAAGGGGACAATCCTGGGATACAATAGCTGGCGAAAGAATGCGAGAAACCTTTGTGAGCCACTCCAATGCCTTGAAAAAATGAAAAACATGTAAATAGAAAACAAAGCTCCAAGAAGGACTTAGACTTGCCAAACTTCGTCGATGTCCTTTTCAGAAACAGTCTGTCTCTTCAACTCCTGCACCCTTCCGAACACTTCGAAAATCTCAGTGTCGAGTTCCCGCGCTTGGTGGGGGTCGCTCCTGCGAGGTCATTGGGCACCCTCGTGGTAGACTCGGAAGATGATACTTCAACCCCCACGGCAGGGCTCTTACACATCCGTGTCTGGGGAGGTTTTACTATAATCAAGAGTCTACATGCATTGCAAGATCAGATCAGAGCCCGTCTTCTTGGTTGTGGCAACAAAGCAAAGCCATGCGAAGTTTGAGCAATCAGTGTGGTGGGCGTTTTGGATTGCCTGCTGAAAATTGCACCAACCTGTTCTGTAGGAATCATAGACCTGTGGTTTGCTCGAGAGAAGTTGGGCTGGCGGCAGAAGAAATGAACAGCCGCCGCTTCTATAGAAAGCTGATAAATCCGAAGCTCATCATTGGGTGAACCCATTTGACAAAGTCTCTTCCTTGCACATCAGCCCTGCTCACGCTGCAAAGCGCGTCTCTTTTGCGCGCGTCTCTTTCCGCGTCGCCTCTGCGCACAGCAGATCCATCAATCCAAGGAATGGTCGAGGTGCCCCAGCTGAAATGTCTGGATCTTTGCGCCAACGAGAGACCATCCAGCAGCCCTGTGTCGTTGTGCAGGGACAACTTTAAAGAGACCACTAGTTCCCCTGAAATGCTATGGGTGCAGGATGCCGACCGACCGGGCATGACCTATCAGGCTACCTGGTGGACGGGACGGGCTCGAAGCGCCCGACCGTCCCATCCTGTGACATCCTGTGATCACCTTTCAGGGATTCGGCTCCAAAGCCTCTAAGACCCTAAGACAGAAGGGAGCTTCTTAAAGCTTCTGTGCAACATTTCACCTCGACCTTTCCTTGGATATTTTTACTCCAAGAGCTCTAAGACACCCATGGCATCGTGTCTCGCTTGCAGCGGCTTCAACTGCGACTCCAGCTGCTGCGCCCGCCGCTCCAAGCGCTCGAAGCGGCGGATGTTCAGCTCAGCCTCCCGCACCGGATCCTCGTTTTGCCGGTGCACCGGGCAAACCCGAGAATTGCAAGAGTCGGTTGGGGGGGGGGTGCTTTTCTTCATAGAAAATGTTGGCAGAAATCTCTCTCTACATGAGGAGGACATCTTCAGAGTTCGGCCATTGTTCAGAGTTCGTGATGTGATCGCCCAAGCCCGGCTGCACTGTCGCTGTGCGGGTCGCCAAAAGACCAATGGCACAACACTACACTTCTTTCTCCCCTTCAGCAGTTGAAGCCACCAAACCAGAAAAGCAACTTGGCTGACTCGGACCACCTTCAAACCACCTTCAAACCCCTGACCTCTGGCGATCCCTCAGCTTCCCCGCTGCCTGCCCCCCTGCCCCCCCAATCTTCGCCGTCCTCATTGTGAGGGAAGGTATCGAAGTAGATGGCCCCTTGGTACTCCACACGCTTCAGCCACACGACCAGCTCCAGCGCCATGGTCGGATGCACCGACCCAAAGACCAAACCATCCTCTGCACCCAAGCGGCTGTGGCCATCGTTCCTAAGGCCGGCACCCGGTGCGGATGACGGCGCCATGTGTAGATCTCCAGATCAGATCTATATCAGTTATGTATCATGTGGTGTTTTATATCAAATCAGATCAGATCAGATCTGGTTCTCCTCAAAAATCTATTCAAAGGTCTTCGTTCTCCCATCGGTTCTCCCATCTCCAGCTTCACCCTGAAAGTGCAAAGTGATCTCTGTAGAGTGCTTTGGGTGATGTAGGAGTTGGTCTCTCAAAAACGAGATTTGAGTATGTATTAGAATAAGGAGACCGCCAGAGACCACACGAAACCCATCGGTTGTTCACTACTTATACACCTCGATGTTGCTCCTCACGTTGGTTGTTTTCCTCTAGCTTGAATTCCAAGCTTCAAATGGACACCAAAGAGCTTTCCTGCAGCGCCTGGCACAGCGACATCGTTGGATGCATTACCAAGCGATGGGCGTTTCTTCATGCAAATACCAATGAAGATGCCACACAAGTTGATGTAAGAACGTCGGATAGAGTCAAAATCCAATCACGACCCTGCTATTTTGTGTTGAGGCCTTCTATTGGCGCGGCATATTTCCCAAGCATGATCAACGAAATCAGGGAGTTGGGTGGGTGATATGAGCTATAAGTGCATTTGGCTGCGTGGGTGTCTCTCGCTCATATTTCAAGCTTGGTAGGCCCATTCCAAAACAACAGGCCACATGTTTCTGTGGTCAAACAGGGAGAACCCAGACTCTGACCCCTGCTTGGGTGGAGGTGTGTCAACGCAGCTGTAGCTGGTCTGCCGGTCAGAAGAAACACCAAACGCACTCGGCAATCGCCTACCATTGCAATGGACTGGGCCGGATTTTCGCCCGCCATGAGCAGATGCCCCACGTCCAAGGTCAACCTCAGCCAGCAACAGGAGCGAAAATCCTCCGACCCGTATGGCTACGTGGGCACAGCAGAGGGAGAGCTGCTCTGTTCAGCTCACCTCGCCACAGAGCTGCCTTTGGGGGTCCTATAAATTGAAGCGGTAGCAGCATTAGAAAAAGTCTTGGGCGAAGAGCTGTATCAAGGTGAAGAATGCTTTTGCGGAGCCTACAAAATTTCGCACTTGGCGATCTGTGCATCTTTCAAGGTGGACTGACTGATTGTGGAGACAAGTTGATGTGCAACTCTCTCTAGGCTCTAGAGTGGCTTTAGATGACGGACTATCCGGCGATGACTGGGTAACTTCTTGCTACTTGGTGACAAAAAGTCAAAGGAAGTAGGGGCAAAAACAAAACATCGAATCTATTCCACTCAACTCCCCAGAACAGTCAGGACGCTTCCACGGCAGAAATATGTTCATCTCTGTCTACTCAAAGGTGTCCTCATCTACCTTTCCCATCGATCCACGCTCCGTTCCGAGTTCGAGAGACCCAAAGTTCTCTCGATTCACCTGCTGCGCAAAGAGCAGCGCCGCTCCAGTGCTGGGCACTATGGCAAAACGGCTGATCTCATCCTCGGGCTCTCGGGCTGCTCGGGCCCGCTCGGGCTCTCACACCCCGGGTCTACTCTTTCAGAAGCTGATTTGACGGGATAGACTGTTTAGACGGTTTCTGAGAGGGTTGACACCTCCTGTGGCGGTGTTCTTTTTTGGGCCACCGCCAACCGGGGCGTTTTGCGTCCGGCCCCGAAACGCAAACCCTGTGTACAACGGCTGGGAACCAAGGAGTGGACGTAGTCCACTTCACCCACAAAGGTTTCAACACATTGGTTTGCAGATGTGTGCAATGGCAATGTGTTCAGGTCCATATTGGTTTCAGCATTTTGGTTTCAAGGTCCATATTGGTTGTTCATGTTGGTTTGCAGGGTGTTTTTGTAGATGTTGCTGACAAAACCTATAGCAGTAATGCAAAAATCAAGGGAAATCGGTGAAGCACGGTGAATTTCTCTGGCTCAAGCGATTCCAGGAATGGTACATAAAATCGCCTCTCATGCAAATGCGTGAGCAACGACACATCTACTGTTCCAGGTTGGAGGAGGAGAGTGGAAGGTGTTTCAAACGTCCCATCCACCCATATCCACCCATCAGAACCAGATATTCCGAACATCCTTTCGAGGCAGAGCTAGCTGCTTATGGCGGCATGTTCGCAGGAGCCTTGTCGTTTCGATGCCTCTTTACGTTCATCCCAATTAGTACGGAATCACTGACCGATTGTCTCGAAGTCACAACCACTTCAGGAAGTGGCAAAGCGGAAAATCAAATGTCCACTGTTCCAGGCAGCCCCCGGAGACGTGCATGGAACCCACCATCTTGGACTTCGCTGCGCCAGGCAGCTTCGCCATTTCCAAGATCCTACGAACCTGATGACACGATGTGCAAAAATCCCATGGCTCTTCGGTGAAAAATCCCACCTTTATGACCGGCATCCGGCCCCCCACACCAGTGCGTCGTTTGATGGCACGTCCCAGGTTCTGTGGGCTTGAACTCCAAGGAGACCTTCTTGTTGCGACACGAAGGGCTGTCAAGCACTTCTCCTGGTCATGCCAGCTTGGTAAGCAAGGCAGGACAGCAAGGTAAGGGGGTATGGGGACCGAGAATGAGAAGCCAAGCAGAGAAGTCTGGGCGGATTGAAGGCAAGATGTCTACAAAACCAAGAAACGCCTGGAAACCGCTTCTGATCACTCATCCTGCCCCGGATTCACCCCCAACTCTCCAACGAGGTCATGACCAAAAAAAATATCCGGAGCATGAATATTGCAATTGGTTCATCTTCCGTACGAACGACCAGGTGGACAGCAATCTACCCACCTTTTCCTATCCCCCCCGCTCAGCGTCTTCTGCCGGGGCTCGGAAGGCGTCCACCGCACGTGACCAGGCCACCAGATAGTCCACTTGCAGCTGATAGTCGTAGCCATCCGTCTGTGGCCACACCTGTCAAATCTTCCCGGAAAACCCGCCCCACACCCGACTTCACCACCCGGCCACGTGTCTCGGAGCACGAGAACTCGTGGGGCCTTCTTGGCAGAGGTCAGACATGACTCGATGTTGCATGATTTTGCTCCATCTCACTCATCGGGATGGTCAGATGCGATCTGTGGCGTGATCAGCTTGAGAAACAACGATGTCTGCATCACACCCCTGAAAGATCCCCGAAACCTGAAAAAAATAATGTCTGCATCAACTCCCAAACCGATCTTGGACCTTCAAACCAGAAAAAAACAAAGCCCTCCCCTTCAATCGGTCGTCCCCCGCCCTGGCTTTGGACTCCCACTGCATCATGCAGCTCAGGGACGACCACCTCGTTGGCATCCAAAGCTTCGGCCCAGACACAGGCGCGGAGGGTGAGGTCAACCTGGGTTTCGCCGTGAAGACCAGCGGGGTAACCAGAGGTTAGACCCCCGGAGAACCAAGTTATATGGATATGAAGGATGGTTGAGTTTGCGAAGCACAAGCATCTGCCTGACCTTTGACCTTTCAATGATGCCGATAGTGCAAACCTCTTTCCAAAGCACCACTAGCACCCCCCATCACAGAATTCTAAAGTGCCTGGCCCCTCGATCTTCTCCTTTCTTCCACAAAAGAGAATGTAGGACGTCCACTCACCGCTGGGATGTCCCACTCACCGTCTCAGGTCCCAGGTACTGCTTCCTTCCTCACCGTCTCGTTCGGGTTTGTAAAGGCACCCAAGCCCATGTGCTCTGGGAAGCGCAAGGCAAGGCCACCTGCCTTGTGTTTTGAGGGCAGGTCTACACAAGTCCACAGTCCACGGCGAAAAAACTGTTCAGGGATGCTAGTATCTCCCAATGTCTCACTAAATGAATCAAAAGGATGGGCTCGACCTGCACACGTTTCTCCGGTTGTTTGAGATGCGGGAGCTGCTTGGTGAAGCAAAAAAGAAGAGTTTTCGGGAAATCCCCACTAGGCCTGAGAGTGATTTGAAGATTATAGCCTGGGCCTGGACATCAACCCCATTCCAAGCTGAAGGATCTACTGCACAGCTGTGACTTATGACGAGTATTGGCTATGAAGACTGGTCTGCTCCCTATCAGGGCTGGGTTCCCTGTGCTGCGCAGGCTTCCCCTCAGTGCCTACCAAACAGATGATGAATCTCTCTCTCTCTCTCTCCCCTCCCGTCCTGCAACTGAAGGAAGCAGGAAGCAAGTCCGGAAGATGAGGAAACCAAACAATATCAAGCGTTGAGCGTGTGTTAAGTATCTACAGATGTTCGTGTTCCCAATCCAAAACAGAGTTTAAGTCCAGTCTTGGTATGGAGTTCATGCGATTGATCCTGAACAAATTGCATACATAGATCCAGCAGAAAAGGGGCTTCAACTTTTAGCTTTAACACAAACAGTTTTTTTTGCTCTTCCTGCGGATAGAGCATGGAACAAAGAAAACGCCAGTATTGTGGACATCTTCCATATGCTCCCTCTGCTTGTGGACATCTTCCATGGTGTGAGCCAATTGGCAAAGAAGAAGGCTTGTCGTTGGGACAAATTTTGCGAAGTACGTTCTTCCACAGAAGGCGTTTCACGAGACGTTTCAGTCCCCAAAGCAGTGCCATTCCTGGACCTGGCCCCACCTTGCCGCGAGCAAGGAAAGTTGAAGGGTCCGGGACTCGACCCCAATCGTGACACGTGGATGGAGCTGTTCGTTCTCTCAGGGGGGCGAAAAGGCTGTTCCGTCCCAAGAACTTCCAAAGAACCTCCGAAAAACCCAACTTTCCCCCCGTCAGCCTCGAAAGCCACCTGTTCATGCCCTTCCCCAAGCCCCATAAGCCCCTCAACTGCCTCCTGCCTGCAGCTTGGCCTCTTGCAAAGCTCTCAGCACTGTAGAGGCCTCTGAGATGTCGAAGGTCTCCAAGTGCTGCGGAAAGTTCAAGTAGACCAGCTCCAAGCCTCGCGCGGAGCCGTGCGACATGCGACGCATGCTCTGCGACCAGCATGTGGTCCAGAAGGGTGGGCCAAGATGCTTCTGGTTATATATCCTCGTAGCAACAGGAACCTAATAGGAATGACCTCCACCCTAATAGCGATGGCCTCCACCTAGTAGCTTCTATGGCTACTAGTAGTAAGGTGCCTTGCTACTAGCAAATACAAAGACATTTCTAGGTCACTCCGTGGCACAGAACTGCCTGGCGTCACAGAACGGGCGAACGCATACGATTCGAGTCAACCGGGGTTTCTGTTGCGCGATTGCCACAAGTCTTGTAGACCTGGATGAGCTTCCCAAAACTCAACATCCTTGATGAACCTTTGTTCCTAGCTTCTTGTTACTAGTAGTAATGCCAGGAGCTACGTTCATAGCTTCTGAAGCTTCCGTCACGCACCCTCCGCCACCCCGCACCGAACCGCCCTGTCGCCCAGTTGGGGCGCCTCGCACGTGACCCTGCCGCGCAATGAGGCCCAACACGTCGAGGGGACCGTCCCAAAGCTCGGGCCTGGCCGAGGGAAGCGGACGGTGCAAAACCCACGACGGTCCATGACGGTGCATTCTCCCAAATCTCAGGTCCTTTCCATTTGGGCCCCTTGGCCATGGCAACACACGCCAACATCACCACGCCATTTGGGAAAAGAGCAACTTGTAGAGAAAAACGCTTGTCACCCACCCAGCTTCATCCGACTGCTCGAGTGGACTGCCACCCCGCCTGTCCTTCATCGAGTTCAGCCTCGACGCAAACCGCGGACGCCGCGTGGCGCCCGGCGCCGCGGCGTCGCCGGCCGCGGCGGCCGTGGCGCTGGGTGCGGCGGGGATGACCGCGTCAGGGGTGGAGAGGAGGGCTTCGCACTCGGCGCGCCACGGAAGGCTAGGTTCAGCACCTGCAGCACAGAAGGCTAGGTTCAGAAAGTGTTAGCAAAGGAAAACCACGGGATTGGAATGGGATTGGTCT